CACACACACACACACACACACACACACACACAATTGTATTTACAGTCGTATACATTCCGTGCATTAAGTCATCTTCATCTTCCAGGAGAGGAAAGTTACGTGAGAGATTTAAATCAAAATAGGAATGTTTCAGTCCAGTAAGTAGTATACATTCAACTGATTAAGTTGTCTTCATTTTTCAGCATAAAAATGCTATTTTAAACAAAAATGTATTGTGCTAATGCAATGAAATAATACTTTGCTCTGACGTTATCGGTGCAATCGGCGATGATATCATAATGCGAGATAATCTCCGCCGCATTTTCAACCGAAAGATATTGCTTGTACACGTCGATGCGAACATTTGCATTCAATCTTTAACAGAAAAAAACCACTTTTCAGGTACTCGAGGCACTGCACTTGTCCTGAATTCGCATTAAATCAAAATTCAAAAGGTAATATTTGTTCTTCGAAAAGCGCTTATAATTCTAATTAAGCCTGATATATCAGATACACACCTCTGCAGCACCTCTTCCAGACACTCTGCTTTTGGCCGACCCACGCAGCGTTCGTTGAATGCAATCTGACGATGAAGATTGTCCACTGAAACGATGTCACCATCCACGATACCGATTCGGCCGACCCCTTAAGACTGTTAAAGTGATATGACAGCAACAAATGTCCTGAATGATAACAAAGGATAATAACTAGCCCTGTTCTTTCACGTCCTTCCCCTTCTCCTCCGCTCCTATCCTATCAGTTTTTATGTGTTTTGTGCTGTGTAACAGCGTTACAAAACGCATATTGTCACGGGGTTGTCTGTGTGTGTGTGTGTTTGTGAGTGTGTCCCATACTTTGTCTCGCACTTTCGACTCGGGAACCACAAAAGCTAGGCGGCTGAAATTTTGGTGTAGTGTTCACCCGTTTTTAAATTCAGCTTTCCCATACCCGCGGGTAACACGTACGGCCACGTGAAAGTTCTTTACGGGTAAATTAACATCTCAGGAACCACGAAGTCTAGGAGGCTGAAATTTTAGAGTAATGACCCCCTGCCCACGCTCAACCTTGCCCATTCAAATTCAGCGTTCCCTCGCTGGTGAGTATCACCTACGGCCTCGTGAGGATTTTGGCGGTTAAACTATTATCTCGGGAATCACGGAAAGATATTCATCCTTCAAGGTTTCGAATTCAACTTTCATGCGCTGGTGCGTGAAATTTTTAACCACTTTCCAATGTTTGAACTATTTTTGCACAGACTAAAGTACAAAGCAGTGAAAATCATTAACAGGCAAACACTCGATGGGCTGAATTGCACAAAACGCATGATCGCACCGGCTAGTCTGGTGCGCGTTGCTATTTATCTTGCTTTGTCTCAGGTAGAACTTTCCATTTCTTTTATTTAAATAGAATGTTTCCTCTTTATATATGTGTATATATATATGTAATCCAAAGTACTTCACCTATTCCCCTCCACCCACTAATTCCTAACACTTTTACTATATTCTAAATAATTCCACGTTACCGATCGCCCTCAATTACTAACTCTTTTTACCTTCCCATTCCTTGCAATAATTTTCCTTTTTTTAACCCCTTCCAAAAACTCTGGGGGTTGGAATCTCGAACCCAAGCGCGCCACAGCTTGCTACGACTAACGCTACTAACTGGCCTCCTTGATACGACTAAAGTCCTTCCTCCGTTTGATAGTTTGTGTACCGCTCCGGCTCAATCCACTG